TCATTCAACGGTGGAGATTTATGATATAAAATAAACTATTTTATCCCTTTTTCTTTCTCACTGCCTCTCATTCTTTCTCTCTCCTCCCCTTTCTCTTTCATCAATGGCGCTTCAGCATAAAAAAAAGGTGCAAGTTTTTTTCTCAATTCATCCAACTCAGTCATTGTCATGAGCATTTATATAAAAAATTGAAATGGGGTGTCATGAAGAATAAACTCAGATGCCCTATGTTATGGAACCAGGTAGGCTTGTTGTTGGGCGTAACATATAGGAAACAGAGATCCTTTCATCACTTCAAGGTGAAAAACAAGATAAGAAGAAGGAGATAAGTTGATTCGTTTCAAATTTCAACAGCAAAGTAGAAACGTTACGGTAATCGTTGATTAATTCAAATGAAGGATTATTCGTGGTTTTCATTTTTTTTGTAATTTTGTGATTTCTGCTGTGTTCAATTAAATCAGATTCAAGAAATTTTGGAAATTATACTTATCCAACATAATTATCATGTCATTAATCATTGCATGGATTTAGATTCAAACATAAATTCAGGTTATAAATTACGAAAATCGATAGAGAGAAAGGGGAGGAGAAAGAAAGAGTGCGGGAGGCAACGAGGAGAAAGAAAGGGAAAAATTGTTTATTTTATTATGCAAATCTCCACCGTTGGATGGGATTGTAATCTAATGGTGTTAAGAGAGGTAGGCAAAATAAGGGTAGGCAGAATAACATATATATATATATATATATATATATATATATATATATATATATGGGAAAATCATTTTTACAGCCGCTATACGTACAGAAATGACAGATGTATGGTTATAATTCTCAACATTTAATGCTTTCATCTTTTGTATGGTTATGATTCCTCACATGTAATACTTTCACGTATATATATGGCAAGTATTTGATTGCTGCACATACAGCAGATGCAGAAATTAAACCCATATATTTATATATATCGTATTTCATTTTCTTTTTGTTTTTCTCTATAACAGACATCAACATCAACAACACCTTTATCCCAAATTAATTGGAGTCGGTGGTACATGAACCCAAATAAAAAGATACAAAAGGGTTGAAAAAAGATAATTTTTCTCTCCAACATAAAACCATAAAATATAAAAGGCTTTTATATTGTATTATATAAATATATATATATAAACTTAGGGAAAACCAAAAGTTATGTTACAGGAAATTTTGTTTAGCTCCTGCACTCAGATTGGTTTCCGTGCAATGTTTTTTATTTATTTATTTTTTCTATTATTTAACGGGTCCCACAAAAACTTATTTCAGTGACATGATATATGAATGTTCATGTTACAGGACATTTGCAAAACCCATAAACTTAATATGTTTTACAAATATTGCTTTTTTTCCCTCTCCTTGAGTCTATGCTAGAGCTTTAAGATCATACCCTCAATAACAAAATGTTAAGTTGAGGTAATTATAATATGATCTATCAATATGTTATAATTATTATTATTTTTATACAGAATATGTTATGATTATTTGCTTTGATCTATCAATGCTAATTTGATTAATGTTTGTAATTTTTATATTAATTTTTACCGCAGGCGAAATGTTTGGACTAAATATTTAAGCAATGCAATTTTATTCATATTTATGACGGAAAACTCTAAACAAGTGACGAAAAATTTTTATGCTGCTACGGGCATAAGGCTACCAACATAATAAAAAGTTTTTTTAATATTTTTTTAATATTTTTATCTAAATACTTGTGCTTAGGACGAATTGCCTGAATTTTTTTTATATTTATAAAATAAGTGCATAAAGAGATTTAAGTATTTGGCGGAAATGCCCTCCAAACGGAATTTATTATGCATAATCAACTTACGTAGCTTGAAGCTCATTCAGATAAAAAAAATATCTAAAATTTCTCCTCTCTCTTTCAATTAATGGGAGATAACAATATTCAACAAAGGCTTCTATACGTTATTCCTCTTGACTTTGACGTTTGAAATTAAGTCCAGACAATCCGGTGGACTAGCTGATATATATATATATATATATATATATATATATATATATATATATATATATATATATATATATATATATATATGATATTCTACCTGTCATTTTTTCTGTCTATTTTTGTCTACTACCTTTCACCACTGTTAGATCAGAATCTCAAGAAGAAAGAAAAATAAAAATGTTAGTTAAGATTCTAATTTAATGGCGTTTTAGTATGGTAGGCAGAATAACATATCTTATATATATATATGAGAAAAATATTTCTCAAGCTGCTTGAGATAAGTTTATATTCCGGCCACCCCAAAACTACGTCGTTTTGATTATTTATTTCTTTATATTTATTGATTCACCTTCGAATGGTTATGATTCCCCTTTTCTCTCTCTTCCTTTATCACCGTTGATCCATCTTTGTACGGTTATGATTTAGTAGCCGGAGATAATCATTTCTCATGCTGCCGGAGATAAAGTTATCCGGCTACTAAATCATAACTGTACAAAAATGGATCAATGGTGATAAAGGAAGAGAAAGAAAAGGGGAATCATAACCATTCAAAGGTGAATCAATACATATAAGGAAATAAATAATCAAAACAACGTAGCTTTGGGGTGGCCGCAGATAAATTTATCTCAAGTAGCTTCAGAAATGTTTTTTCTATATATATATATATATATATATGAAAAAGTTCATATCATTTGAAAGGACATAAACTTAAATTCTTTTAAGAGAAAAAAAAAAACTCAAAATAATATGGGTCTCACTGAAAAAAAGCAAAGACAAAAAAGAAAAGAAAAAAGATGTAGATTGCATCTTTTTATGTCTACCTCTTTCTTAAAATTATTTAAGTGTTTGTCCTTTAAATAAATACATATTTTTTCCATATATATACTTTATACATGAGCCAAAAAATATATATCGTCAGTACTTATCAGATAAAGCAGATGTCAAATATGTTTGTTGTTGGGACAAGTTGTAGAGAAAACAGAGATGCATGTATCTTCTTCCTTTAATAGACAATTGCATATTTAATATCAAGCAAGTGGCAGATAATTTATTACAAGTTGCTTGTCAATGCCCATTTTAAAAAAATTCATTCAAAGCAATCGTCTGCATAAATCTGTTTTCATGATTTTTTTTATACTGTTTTGAAGGATACAATACAATGATTAAAAAAGAGGAATTTTCCTTTTGATTTTGTCTTCGAGAAGAACCACTTTAAATTTACAAAATACATGCATATGCCCTTGGGACAAAAGAGGGCACACCGGCGGCTGACGTAAACGTAGCATATGCTGTGTGGTCCCTGCCGTTTAGGATTTAGAATTTAGATAAGACAGGATAGGTTCTTGGAATGGAAAATAGCACACAGATACAATACAATAGTGCACTCAATACTCTTCTCATGGAGTGATGTGAGTCTCATGAATATAATAAGGTAATATATGTGAATATATAATGGCATGATTAATCTAGTTTGGGGTTTAAAAACCTATCGATTTTGTTAGGAGTTGATTCTTAGAAATCGAACTCAATATTATTAAAACAAATCAAATTTCTGGGATCTGAATAGCACGACATTATACCAATAACTCTTGAATATTTAATATATAATTGGTTCATTAACAATTAAGATAATATTTTTAATAGATATATTGTTACCCAAAATTATATTTGTATTTGCATATTTTCCCGGCCGATAATTAACTACCAACTTAGGTTTTTTGGAACATAAAATAAATAAAATAACATTATTAAGCTCAACACAATAATATTAGAAACAATGTTATTTGACGTGAATTTTTTGTATAAAATATATTACGAATATATAATAATTAATCATAGTTGAAAACGAAATAAATAAATAATGAGTACTTAGAAAAATACTATAATTTTCTTCATTCGTAAATCGTTTTATAGAAAATATATATTCGTGCTATTTAATATTTTTCAAAATTAAAATATCCACATAGGACATTATAAAGAGTCATTCAATTACTAACATAACTAAGGCATGGGCGTGGCTACGCTCTATTATTTATTTTTAAGAAGACATGGAAAAAGTTTCCATCATTGATAATTGTGATAAAAATTAAATTACAAATTAAAGTGTATAAGTCGTTGTTATTATCTAATTTTCTTTAATAAGCACTAATCCTATATTTATAAAGTGGTTACAATACCAAGTGATCACTGGCTAATCCTCACTCACTAATCACTTCAGGGAGGTGTATACGACAAAGCAAGCAAAACGAAACCTTGTGAGTGACAGTGACCCAGACAGAGACACAACATTTTCGTTTCGTTATGAATGAATTCAGCATCTACGTCCTTTGTGGGGGAGTCGCCTCCCTGTTGGTCCGAACCTTCTTTCAGTTGCCCACGTTGCTTTATTTTTTCTTTGACTCACGTGCCTATATTGATATTTGAAAATAGTACTTTCAATGTTTTATTATAATAATAATTATTATTATATTATGCTAATAAGTAATCATTATATACTACATAAGGCTATAGGTCCATGTCCACCCTTCAATAGTACCATTTAATAATAAAATAGATATCCAAAGACATATCCATCCTCCTTGTGATAACCTTCAATAGTACCCTTCAATATTATATTTTTATTTTCTCTTCTCAGTCACATCGCTGACGTGTAAAACGAAAAAAAAGAAATAACTTTTCAGAATTATACAGAGTATGATATGTGTAAATCACTAAAAGAATACACTTTGTGTCATTTTGAATGATAGGCACTAAACCCATATTCAAAATTACACTTTATTATAACAAATTTATTCTCTCTATTTTTTTATTTATTTTTTTAGTTCGATTGATTTATCTATTATCTATCAATCTTTTGGTCGTTATGTTTCCTTCTTTCGGTGGGTACATAAAGGAGGCAAGCACCCCGAATCATTGTTCAAAGCACACAAGTTGTGGCTATAATACTAAAGTCTAAAACAGCTGAATATAGTTGGTGTGTGTATTTTGATTCAAGAGAATGGATTTTGATACTTCTTTTTTCCAGTACCAAAACCTTAACTCTTCTTCCCTTGCAAATTCCCCTGTTTCTTCAGAATCTTTCTCCTGGGAAGACTTCTTTATCTTCAATGAAGACAACACCACCCTTCCCTTCAACTTCACTGACCACTCACAAACAAAGGAATTATCATCTTCAGATTCAAACTCCTCTTCAGGCTCTCTGGGCAGAACCAAATCACAAGAAGTCTCCTCCAATTGTTCAACTTATGCACAAGTGAAAGAAACACATGCATCATCAGCATCAGCATCACCACCACTACTCAAGGAAAATAACAGAGAGAAGAGGCCCTTCAGAGGAGTGAGGAGAAGGCCATGGGGAAAATTCGCAGCAGAGATAAGGGACTCAACAAGAAAAGGGGTTCGAGTGTGGATTGGGACGTTCGACACAGCAGAGGCAGCTGCATTAGCTTATGATCAAGCAGCTTTATCAACAAGAGGTTCTATGGCAGTGCTGAATTTCCCAGAGGAAGTGGTGAGGGAATCACTTGAAGAAATGGCTAACAATAAATTGTGGGAAGCTGGTTCCTCTCCTGTGCTAGCACTCAAGAGGAAACACACCATGAGAAGAAAGTCCAAGGCTAGTAACAAAAAGACCAAAAGGGATAGCAGAGAATTAGATATCCTTTCCGAAAATGTGCTTGTGTTGGAGGATTTGGGTTCTGAATATCTTGAACAACTTCTCAGCTTGACTTCTTCTGAACTCATGAGTTAGCTAGTTCCTGGTGTTGAATTTTGTTCATTATTTCTAATGTTGATTCTTTCATGACTTCATATATTTCTGGGATTTGGAATCATCATCCCTTTTCATCTTCTCCATTATTGTTTTTTTAATTTTTTATTCCTCCATTGTCGTCAAAATCTAATGGGAGAGAAGATGAAAGAGTCCAATTGTATAAAAATAAAAATAAAATGCCTTCAAGTAAAATTTCGCAATTATTCTTATTTTTTGAAATGTCCATTCTCTGTTGTATTCGTGGAATTCTTAAACGAGGGAATAGAAAAGGGAAAAGATGACTGCCTCTTTTTTCTTTCCTTTTTTTTATTTCTTCTTAAAAGTTTCGTACCATTTAAAATTTTGTTTAATAATTTGTATAATTCTTGTACAAGTGAATGAGTGATTCATCGCACGTGTGAGTTTCATGTTAGAATCAACTCGTGCAACCGATGGGTGTAAGAAATTTAAATTATATCGCATTTTATATATATATATATATATATATATATATATATATATATATATATATATGAGGTAGGATCCTTTGACACCGGTGTCAAATTTTAAACTTGACACCTCATCTGAGAGCCGTTTGATCAAAAAAGATCAACGACTCTGATTTGCAAGCATGTGACACCGTTGATCTTTTTTGATCTAACGGCTCTCAGATGAGGTGTCAAATTTAAAATTTGACACCGGTGTCAAATGATCCTGCCTCTATATATATATATATAGTTCGCTTTTTCTACCGTCAATATAGATAACTTATCTACATTGAGTCCAAAACGATGTCGTTTTGAGACGAAAATCAAGGTATTTTTGTTATTATAATTTATTTCAGGATTATAATAGTCTTTTTCATTATAATTCTTTAATTTTTTGACCCAAAATGACGTCGTTTTGGGAGCGAATGTAGATAACTTATCTACATTCACTTTAGAAACATTAAGCCCATATATATATATATATATATATGAGAGGTTATACTTATTACCTATTTTTTTCTTACTACATGTTACTACCAAATCTTAATCGATGATTTTCGTCAATTTAACGGTTGTAATTTATGGGGTCATACTTATTAATCAATTATTAATTTGTAATAAATTACAACCGTTAGATTGACGGAAATCAACGATTAAGATTTGATAGTAAGAGATAGTAAAAAAAATAGATGATAAGTGTAACATTCCCATATATATATATATATATATATATATATATATATATATATATATATATATATAAATAAATGTGTAAATATTTTTCTATAAAATATTATTTGTTTTATATGTTCTGATCAGAATCAACATTAGGAGCCATAAAGGCCCACTAAAATAGTAGACCAACAAAGATTAAGAGTTCAAAATAAAATTTTAACTAATAAGAAAAGGCAAAAGTATTTCAGTCTTTGTGGTAGAAAATTTTTGTCTACCATCGATATATTTCTTTTAGGATCCGCCGGCGGATCCTTGTGAATATGTGTTTATGGTAGATAAGTTTTTCTGCCGCAAAGATAGAAAAATCGAACTCATAAGAAAATGCATTAGATACATGTAAACACAAACCTTGGGCTATTCAGCAGCATAAACAACTAGCAGTATCAAGTTTGTCAACCTCCTCATCCAGCCAATACCTAAATGTACGTAGTGTTTTAAAAATCGGCCAGGTCGACCCAGGTCTCGGTGATCTGGTGGGTTCTTCGGTTCGAGCGGCCCTTTGGATTGGTTAAGCAATCGACCATGGACCGATCAAATGCTTTTTTTTTAAATGAGTTATAAAAAAATGGATTGGTGTTAGTTAAAGCTTCATGTTTTAAGTTTCAAGGTGGCTTATTTTTTTCAATTGTTTGGGTGCTTAATCCCTATTTTGACAGCATGATAATGATAATGTCAACCACTGCCCACCGGACAAGAAGCTGAGAATTTACTTACATACAGACCTTAGAAATTAATAAACAATGATGACATGTGAATACCATCTTGGACCTGAACGTAGACAACTCAGCTGGGTTAGATATTTTGGAAACAACATGTGAATCTTATATGAATTGAATGAGATATCGCTATTGTGTATTTTAAATTTCATTGAAAAGAGAAAAGGGAAGTTGAATGGAGTTGACTGTGAGAAGGTATTTAGTAAGTTGGAATTGTCATGCTGGTCTTTAAGATATTTTATATCAAATGCTTGACTTCAATATCACAATGTAAGTTTGTTCACCATCTTGTGTACTTTCCGATCCATCGGGCTATGACAAATGAAGAGGTTTGTTGTAAATATAACAGGAAGAATTATGCAAATATTTTAGATTGGTTATCTATTATTATTAAGATAGATATGTTTTCTATTTGTTTCCTTAGATTTTGCTCTATTTTAGGTAAATAAATATTGATATAGGTCTATATAATGTAAATAAATTCTATACGTTGATCATTAGAAAATAATATTTAGAATATCTACCAAGTTCTTAAGTAGGTCTGAGGTGGAATAGAGTGCAAACATATAAAACATAGGGTATCTTGCTTGTTTTAAAAAAAATAAGCCTATTATTGATAGTTTTTCCTATGAATTTTTAATATGTGAATAGTATATCTGATTCAATCCAGTTGAACAAGTGACCTAGTGACCCATTACCCCAACTAAGTCGATGACCAAAGACAAGCTTCCAGCTAAGTCACAACAATATAAATCACCAAGGGGCATCCCACATAAAATGATAAGCAAAAGAGTGTCAGATACTGATATGTTGAAGCTATAGCCAATTAGCTAAATAGAAATAACGAACACAAGAATTGTGAGATTATTTTTCTTTTCTGAATTTTATTAAACCAAAACAACCAAATAACAATAAGCGAAACAAAATAAAATGAAAAATAAAACCAATCAAAATCAAAGGAGATTATGTGCAATCGAAAGAGATAACACATAATGGAAAGATAAAATAATGGACAATGACTAAAATACCCTAAACTATGGAATAAGCCTAACACGTAAACATGCACAAATACTTCTAAGCCAATTTTAGGTGCGTCAGACACCCTGATTTCACAAAAGGCCACCCAAACAGGCCAATTAAAAAGCATATCAGCCATACCGCGACACAAAGACGGTATACTGAGTCTATAGGTAGATCATGCCTCATATTATAAGTAAAGAGGACAAGATCCAGGTACATTCATTTTTCCTAGCTATATACTTAAGTCAATCGTTTATATACTAATTTGAGGGTCAGAATATCTTGCAGGGACTCCACCCCCTCTTGTTCCTGTCAAAACACTTCGTGCCTCCATTAAAGAATCCAATCCCGCAAAATTATATATCCCGCGTAATAAAGCAATGATTCCTCTAATATCCAATCACTACTTCAAATGGAACCTATTTAGATCAGGTTCAATTGTGTGTGGTTTGACCCAATACTTTGTGATCTGATCACGTTTCATAAAACAGAGATATTGATTGATAAGAATAAAATATAGATATAGATATGTATAGAATTTTAAAGAGTAAAACAGAGAGAGAAATTAAGAATATTATATCAAATTAATCCACTCATGAAAGGATAGTCAAATTACGTATATAGGGATGGAAAAAAAATGAAATGATGATGTTAAAAAATGTGTATTAGCTGCTCCACAAGCAATCGTCTTTTTTGAAAATGAAATAAAAATGTTTTGTAACGTTGAACTCTAATATGTTCTTTCGTCAAAAATAATCTCCAATATATTCATCAGTATTATTTCAAAAAGTATCTTCATTTGAAAATAATTTTCTGACTAGTTTGTTATTATCAACTTTTATTGTCTATAATTTTTTTTACACTATTTCTCGTGTATCCCACCAATCGAATCTTGTCACCGAACACCGACTGATAAGTCAAATTCAACCATTTTGTGCTATAGAACTATGCTATATAAGTAGGAATCCTTCCAGAAACAATATCAGTCTTTTATAGTTTTGAATACCATTTTTTATAAGCGTCATTATCAAAAGGAGTAATATTTTAAAATAAATAAATAAAAGAGACAGAATATAATAGTATATATTCAGATGAACTAAAAAAAATGCCCGGATTTTCGACCAAAAGAAAACATTATAGAAAAGACATCGAAAAGTGAAGGGGAAAGAATTTAGGAAAAACTTTATAAATGTTTTAATTATTCTCCTTAGAATAAAAAATGTCCATAATGTTTTTTAATCAATAATGTCCCCAACGTTTGAAACACTGAAAAAAAGAATTCATTTTTACTAATCAATTAGAATTGCCCGAGGATCTATCATTGTCTCAAAGGTCTAATATAAATATAGGAATTTGATTTTCTCATATTGTAACTTAATTAATGGTGAATTTCACATTTATTTAAAAAGAAATTACACACAATTTGAAAGGTCACAATATGAGAAAACACTTTTCATGTAATATAAGAATAATAAATGTTTTTTTCATAAATATATTATTAAAGAATTTATATATGTATCATGTTAGAGAAAATTTATTCTTTCTTCCGGCAAACACAATGAGAATGTGGGGACCATAAGAGGGTGTTTGGTAGGAGGTAAAAAAAAAAATTTCTAGAAAAATGGGGTGGGAAAATTATTTGTCTATGTTTGGTAGGAAGTGAAGTAAAAATATAGCTGAGAAACATTTTTTTTCTCATCATTTGCTTTTCAAGGTAAAATAGTTGGGGAAGATTACTATAGAAGGGGTGGAATAGCTTTTTCCCCATGTGATTGGAAAATTAACACACAACATTAGTAAAATTAACTCAACATTCTCAGAAAAATTTTGGTCTACTAAACACCTTTTAGTAACTTACAAAGGAAAAAAAAATTTCCATCATATTCCCAGAAATTATTTTTCTCGGTAAAAAAAAAATTTCTTCTACCAAACGCCTCCTGAGTTTTTTCTTCTTCCTCATCTCACTTTCTCTCTCTTTTTTACTATGTCTGCATAAAAGTTATTGTTTATTTTTACAGCATAAGACATATATAACCCATTA